ACTTTTCTAGTTAGATTCCATCTCAGTCTGTGTTTGAAGCCCCATCAAGCCTGAACTATTCTGTTCTTTTCTGATATAAAAGTGAAAATGCTCTTGTCAAAAAAAAACAAAACTAAGTGCAAAAATGATTTGGTATCTGCACTAAGAACTATTTTTAAAGTAGGCTAAGAAATTAAAATGGTGCACATTTAGGAGAGGAAAGATGAGACGTTCTAGTAGAAAGTGACCTTTCTATTAAAATCTTATTCTTATGTTGTTGAGAGGCTTTGCTTGGATCAGCTATTTTTTACAATGTCTGCTTAACATATCCAACACACATACAGTTTCAGCTCTAGTTTAGTCATATATTTTGTTCACCTTTCAGAATAATTCCCATGTTTCTCTGTTATGTGATATTGTCAATTGTTTTAATTGTAGATTTAACAGTGGGGTTGAGAAAATAGTTGAACTAGTACATGCTTGATCATATTTAAGGAAGCAAAATAGGTACCTTGATATGTTCTATAATATATAGTAATGAACAGTATTGTTTTTGCTTTCCTACCTTGTTCTGTGGAATTGGGCACTATGTTTAATATTTTATATTTGCACTTTCAATATTGATAATAAAATAACCAGATACTCTAAAATTCCTGTCTCAGTAATTTTCCACTCTTCTTCTGTAATTTGCTGGCTGATAGGGAAATGAGAATTTTTCTTTTGTCCTAAGTTTATCTAACGTTAATGTTGTCAGGTGCTTTGTTTTTTATGAATAATTAATCTTAGCTATAGACCAATTTCGGTAAGTTGTAGACTGATTTTCTCTGCAACCCTTACAACTGCCATGCAGTATTGCACCAGTGCCAAACAACTGCTTAACAGATAAGAGCTGTTCCCCTCAGACAGAACTATTGATATATTCTAAAAAGGACTAGGTAAGGACAGTGATTGCCACATAGAACTGGTCTGGAAACTCAGTGTTTGCCTTGTGTATCAAGGCTGAAAAATAATCACAGTTCTATTTTTATATCTAAATCTACAGGATCTCTTCTCCAAATGGGTAAATGAAGAAAACCAGTGAAATTTAACCAGACTGTTGAAGAATACATCCTATAGGATGTTTATAATATTCATTATAAATAATGCCCTCACTGTCTGTTTGGTTATATGGTCCACTTTATGAGAAGAAATGATAACAGTCTTCTTAAATGGGGAGAGGGGGAGGTTTTCAGGTTCTGCAGGGTTTCATCCAATTCTTGATGTTATTTAGCATCTATATAAAACTTTTGAGCAAGCTCATAAATATATCTGGATTAAAAGTATATCAATAGGTTGATAATACAAAGCTCTATTAAGGTGAGGTAGTAGAAATGTTTAATTAGCCTGCTGTCCAGCTGGAAAAGTAAACTGCAGCTTCTGTCTAGATGGAAGTTGTCCACTCCTGTGTTAGTGAGTTGTTAATCTTTCTTGGACTTGATCTGCTTTGCCAGATGTTGCATTCTCTCTAAATGATCAAATACATGGCTAGTGAGTCTTTGTGGAGCAGTCTTTTTACACTAAAGTTTCAGATATCCTTTTATCAAATGCCTAATCTGCTATGTTGATAACAGCCTCTCAAATTAGACTGATATGTCTATTATAATATACTCTTCCTGTATAGAAATAGCCTGGCTGTGTCCATATCGTGGTAACTTCCTATTTATATAACGGCAATACATTGTATGTTCTGTTGAAGTACATCTTGAATATGGAGATGTATCATGGATTTCTAGTAAGAAGAATAAAGTATCTTGGCAGCTGTTATTATATACAAAACCAAATCTATATACTTTGTAGGGATATAAACTTGGTGATATTTAGTGGAAAAAACAGCTGGCAGGAAAGAGAATTCAACTTTAAGATTTGTTTCATTCTATAATAGATCATCTTCCAGAATTGTTGAGCTTTATAACATTCCACCAAATATGAAAAAATGATCAGACCTGTTTATTGCATTTCTAGCAGTTTTTAATATGAATTATCTATTTGAGCAGTTGGCACTGGAGTAATATACTAACACTGAAGCATCTTATACCAGTTTTTTTAAGTGCAGTGTTCACAATAAATTAAGTATTTGTCTTCCATTGATATTCCCATTGTTGCTATCAATTGTCCTGTTTACATTTTACATCCATTTTATCATGCGATCTTTGTGTAGTTTCTAAATTGTGTTTCAGTAACAACTTGTAAATAAGCCCTATCAGATGTTCTTAGTTTTTCAAATTCAGTCAAGTTTCTTAAGTATTCCACCTTGTTTTTGTAATTCCTTTTAGACTGTGGTGCTTATTTGGAAATATTAAAATTATTGAAGTGATTTGTAACAATTCCAGAGAGTCTTGAAAGGTTTCATCTTAGTTTTGTTAAAAATTAAGTCTTGCAGG